TACCAGTTGAACTGGAGCGCCACGTTGCCGTCCATCGAGAGCTGTGTCGGAAGTTGGTGCTTGATAGGAACAGATGACGGTCCGCGCAGAACTGAAGAAGTCGATCGCTGTTATCTGTTCTCTGGCAGGACAGAGCAGAACTACCGCCTAGGCAAGCTTCTGATGCGCTCAGTTTTCCAACCTGCGAGTTTAAGGCACCTGCAAGTACAACTATATCGGAGCTTCGACTCATCCGAATGAGATCAGTGAGTTCATCGTCGAAAGCGTCCTTCTGGGTAAATATCGATTTCTAAGGATTTCATTGTACGAGCCAGACAAGCTTGTTGACCCAGGTGCATCCAAGTCCTCACGTTCAAGGCACCCAGATTAAGTGATTGACAAGGCTTTAGAATCTGCAATCCATTTTGTGGTAAATCACTTACGGTGCTATTTGTCAATGACCTTTGGCGAGCGACATTCAAGTTGCTTGAGGGACTATTACAGGTCGGTAGAAGGGGTAAAGAGAGAGGGTTGGGAACGGCAGACAAAGAGTTAAAAAAAAATGTTGCGATATCTGAGCTGTAGCCCACTTATCACTACCCACCCCGCTCGATGCAATGGGCAGCGCGGTCCTGATTATCCTGCGCGACGACCGATGCAGTATGAAATTATTTTTATTCTGTGTATGCATTGGGGTTTGGTGGACGGGTACTGCTAGGGTGTCCAGCCACTAAGCAGGAGAACGATTAGGGTTCTCGTTCAAAGCCTTTAGTTCTAACAAGAACCTAGCCGCAAGGCAGCCGGTGAGGCGAAGTTGAGGCCCATTTACTTGGATCGATTACTCCTCCACCGCTTTTTATCGACTGAAACGCCAATTCCAGGTGAACCCCAACCTGGAGGACCAGGAGACTGTACTTCGTCTGACCTCTACCCATTGACCTTCCAGGCATGATTAGACCTCTTGGCTTTATAAAGCTATCCTGTGTAGCTCGTTGAGTCACAGAGGTGCACAAGCCATCACACCACGTCAAGGTGTAGTCTCATCGGCAGGCGTTTAGCACCGGTAAATAGTAAAATATTACTACAAGACTGGGTTGATCAAGCTACCAATCTCACTTCAACTAGAGAGTTTACAGAGGTAGTTAACAATTTTTTTCATTTTTTCACCCAAGGGATGAATCACAGATGCCGTTTCGGTACTCATACAGGAGGCTCAATGGGTACTTGCTAACTTGAGATTTTGTGGCGTCGTCTCGACATCCGGCTGACTGAGAAGGGTCGAGCGAATTCCGCAGCTATTAGGCCAGTTTTGCTATGAGGCGCAAAAACTCCACCATTTAAAAAACAGGATAAACATAGACTATTGGTGTCGAACACCGCAGTTTACGCAGAACTGCACCAATCTGGTGGCAGACCGGACAAGGAATGCTAAGATTAGACAAGGAGTTTTAGGCAATCGCCTTCGTCCACTGGAACAAGTGCTCGACTGTCATAGATTATGTTGGTTGGGATGTGCTGCGCATACCACCAAATAGGTTGCCGCGGCGCATGATGCTCGCCGGGGCATGTGTGAGTGATAAAAACTCATGGGGGGTCAAAAGAAGACCTGGTACGAGGTTATCAAATCCCTAATCAGGAGAATCGGTCATATGGGTCGCATTAGGCTCCCTGAATGGGAACCTTGGGTTACTGTAATCAATGGTTAGAGACAATTAGTGATATGGCTGAGGGTCGTAGACAGTGGTGTCCGTGCTTCTCAATTTATTTGCAATCTCAGTTCACTGAAATTCTCTTTTTTCGTTGATTCTATTTTCAACTTCCTGATTTTCTCCTACTGCTTCCTCCAGATGGGCAGCCGGAAGACGAAAGTGGATGGTTGTACAAACTAAAAACCGATGTACTGTATAGTTTTATACCTTTCATGAGTCATTGGGTTTACGTATGCACTGAGAGATAACAGAACGAAGAAACCATCACCGAGTGGTGGTGGACAAGAAGTTAGTGGCGTGCCTCGGTCTGAATTTTAGGATTCGAACGTTGCTTTTGTGGCTGAACTTCGTGAAGGTAAGCTTCACTTTCTGTCAACTCCATATTAACCTTATCCTAGTGGGATGTTGTGATTATCTGCTCCAAAGACCACGGTTTAGATTGCCAGTTTTCATAGTTAAACGGTCGGTTCTCATGAATATGACAGGCATCTCTTCTGCTAGATGATCATGTGCAATAAAAAGCCTAAGAAGATGTGACAACGAAAAGGTCGTGTATTATCGCAAAAGACAACGCACCTTTTTGTGAAGTAATATTCTTACGCAAGGCTGATTCCAGTTGCTGTACATCGTGACGCAACTGAGCCAGTTTGACCTGGGTCATTGTTGTATCCACAGCTTCCGTGTCCGACTCCACTTGGCTCACATTCAAACTATCCATCTGGTCCACGCCATCATCTACTTCACCTTCCCCGTCATGTGGGTGCTGTGCCGTTGACGTTTCTTGTGGCCGGTCCGTATTTTCGGTGCACGCGAACTGATCGAGCAAACCGGTGCGAATGGAATGCACAAGCGGTGTGAACGAGCTAGACTCATTGGTGGTATGCAGCTTGGGTGGTGGCGATGTGAGACCCTGTGCAGCCCGCTGTGGTGGACAAATACCATAAAGAGAGAGACAGCATGATGACCAAAAGAAGAGGTGGGTGAAATGATAATAAATTGCGCTCCGGAATACCTACTCGGTACTGAGAACACTAAACTGTCGTATACACCAGCTTCACTGATTGAGAGAGAGAAAACTGTGCCACATCTAGTCAGAAACACAAAGCGGGTGACCTAATTTGACAGGAAAATCCTTCGACAACCCCAGCTTCCTGGGCAGCTCTAATCAGCGCGGAAATTCGTCGTGCACGCTCGTGTATCGGTTCCGGTTGCTGTCTTTCGAATTACCTATTCGGTGGACCCGCATACGATGAAGTCACTGAAACGTCAAGAGTAATATCTTGAGAAATATGCAGAAAACGGATAAACTACAGAACATCCTGTTATATCATTCAGTGTCTTCAATCATCCATTATCCAGCTACAGTGGTCACATCACGCCAGGGAGCCTAACAAAACTGAGAGGAATAAGTCATCCAGTCAGTTTTCATACTATCACGCCATCTCTTATTTTGACCTTGATCCTCTACCCATCACCACCACCACCAGGAATCCCGGCAAGCATCGCACTCCGAGAATACTCGTGTGTAACCAAAATCGATGAAAGTCACATATTTGCGTTAATGTGTGATCGCGATTACCTCAAAGTTGACGTCTGATTTTTACAACTTAGATCATTATTTTCGTATGTTTAAAAGAGAGACAGAGAGAGATAATATTTACCACTGTAGAAACAAAAAATGCGAAACACAACTTGATTCGAACCAAAGAACGATCGACGAATGGTGAAAGCAATGAGGAAGTTTCGACAGACGATAGAGTTAACAGTCATTTGAACGTAACAGTTTGTCCAACGAAAAATAGTTGGAAAAGCTAGTCCCGATTGACCATCAATAAAGTGAAACCACTGTGAACAAGGAGTCAAAACACCATCGGTTTCCATCACAATGTTGTACTGAATTTCCGAGCTCCACATTCCGATGCGGCATATACTCAGAATTGCACATTCTTACGCTGCTACAAACGAGCTTTTGCATTCAGTCCCTAGATGATCTCACAAATGAATACAACAAAAACGTAAAGAACAAAGTACAGGCATCATCATCGTGTTGATGTGAGGAACAAACGATTAATGATAAATTTATTCGAAAAATTAAGGTTAAACTGAATAAACTAATTAACATCGGCTATCCAATGAACTGCACATTACGTTGGTTGAGAAGAGAAGCGGTCTTTAGCCCCGATTTGCATCGGACGAAAGAACTGTTCCGTACTGTGTTGGAATTTGAGACATGGAAAGTAAGTGCGCCGCTCAAGTGACTCTATCAAACTAAAAACAAAAAAGTGGTAAAGAACCAAGGACATGCAACGCCTCCGTTGTCGGTAGCACCTATGCATGATGCATGAAAATTGAGAGGATTCCTTCATTTCTCACATAACTGGCTAATCATCATGGATAATGTGGATGGCTTAATCCAACACTACGGTCCATTTGCATCTCAACATTCCACTCGTATTCGTTCGAATCGATCGAACACAAATGGTGAATTCAATCAGATGTTACATAGTCGTGCCAAAATGGTTGAGAGAACTCTGCGTGATAAGTACATGAATTGCATTAGCTATTAAGTACAACATGAATTATCCTCTCACTGAAGTGATGCTTTCTATGGCACTTTCGTCTAATATCGAGGATGAGTCAGATTATTCCACCTTGGACCCTGATGAATGCCAGTCAGTTCATATATTTGTCTGCCAAAATGATCAACCAATCGCTCGCCCCAGTAGAGGATGCATGGAAATCAGTGAAAGTGTCCGAAATTGACAGCCCAGAAATGACTAACAGTCACACGGGTGATCGGACATAGCGGCAGAAGCAGCAGCAGAAGCAACAAAAACAAAAACAACAACAATAGTGAAACAGACTGAGCACAAACAGCATCAAGCGGATTACAGGATGAGCGAACTTCGCTGATCATGGTTAAACTCGCTGGGCAAACAAAGCCAATCTATGTACCTAAGCAAAAATGGAAGTATTCCTGTTCGGGGAGTTAATGAATATGACCAATTCATCCAAAGAAGATGCTTCTTCCTTGATTGAATGCACGATTATTCATGCAGTTAGCAAGCTTTTTTCCCGGAGTAATTCGATTGGTGATCATTTTTATAAATGCAGTTGTTTTGATCTAGCAATCCGACCGGATCTTTGTAAGATCAAAACAACTGCATTTACAAAATCAGTTGTAAATAATGCCCCGCAGAATACATTGGGTAAACCAATAGACAATTTAAGACAAGAATAACCGAACGCAAGAGAAAAGAAAAACACCGACCTACGGA